GTGTGCCTACCCAGATTCCTTGCAGTCTGAGTCGGGGAAACAACAGAGGGGCCAATGTTGATTGTTAGGTCAAGAGTGGGACAATCATTTCCCGGAAAGAAAAGCAGTTCAGTCTTGTCAAGGTTGAGCTTGAGGTGATGAGTAGACATCCACTGAGAGATGTCAGCTAGACAAGCAGAGATGCGTGCGACGACCTGGGTCTCTGAGCGGGGAAAGGACAGAATGAATTGGGTGTCGTCAGCGTAGCAGTGGTATGAAAAACCATGCGGGCTAATGACTGATCCGAGCGAGTTTGTGTACAAGGAGAAGAGGGGACCAAGAACAGAGCCCTGAGGTACCCCTGTAGTTAATTGACAAGGGTCGGATCATTAAAACTGGGAGCAAGCGTTGCATTTATATGTTTGTTCAGTGTATCTTTTCATATTCATATTATTTTGCTACATGATTCTGCGAATGCCAAATGTCAAGGGTATGACGCTGGCAGACGAAGAAACGTTATCATGTTTTTGTTTTTTTATCGCGTCCCCAACAAATCATCATGTTTCATTTAGGTGTAACTGGAATGTACACTAGTCCTCAGGTTGTTTAAAGGTCTATATTCCAAAAAACCACACTGCCACTTTCCCCTGACCTCAGTGATAGCATCAGCAACTTATGTAGTTAAGCTTATATCACATTACTTTCTGCTATGGCACTGCACCTTTTACAAATGTATTAACCTGTATGACATATTTTACCACCTTACTCCACTCAGGTTGAGCTTTGAGATGGAGGAAATGATGACTGCATATGAGGACGAGCTGGTTAGTCAGCATTTCTGTTTCATCGTATTCACTTTCCCCTATCATTCACTCTCACATAAGCCAGTTTAATAATGGCACATTGTATTTTCATTTGGATAAATAATGACACAGAGCTCTTCTCCCCTAACAGGATTTGTCAGAGTACAATGAGGATGCTGATGTATTGAACACAGCCAGTGGTGCTGAATTTGATCAGGTGGGATCAAAATGATTTATATCAAATTTCATAGTAATCTTTTAGCTCATTGTAATTCTACTGATACAACAGGGTATGCAGTTTCTTGAAACGACAAAAAAGAAATCGCTGCAGCCATGAGCCTCTGGCTAGAAGAAGACTATAATACTAGCAACATTTTGTCTACATATCTGAAACGATAGTATATAATCTATACTATAGATACTGTCCGTCATCCTTTTTTTGGGTTGTTGTGCCAGCAATTCTTGCCAAGGCTGTGTTAACAACTTCTTCTACAGGTATTTCCTTACTTAAACAGCCTGAAAACGGAGACAAGAGGAATTGCATCAGTCTGGTTTTCTCTCAACCACTTGAATCAGCTGGTTATTTAAACAAGAAAAAAGACACCCTCATCTGCTCATCTGTCTGTTTTCCCCACAGGCATCTGAAGCCTCTGTAGATGAATGGCCCCAAATTGAGAAGGAGAAGAAGACGTTGGAGGATGAACCAGTTGATGAGCCCTGAGGGTTCAAACTGTTATAAACAGAGTGCTGGTTAAATAAACATTGGTTCATAATGCTTTGCTCTATCGTGTTTATTTTCAGTATGAGAAATTACTTATCTATTGCTGATGTATTGTGGTATAATGTAAGGATACTAGTCAACATTGAAGCCCATTTCTGTAAGTAGGAGAAAAATAAATACATGTTTTAAAATCAAAATAACACAAAAACAGCCTTGTGATTCAAAAGGATCATATTAGTATAAATAATTATAATTACAAACTTTCACAAGAGGATTAAGCAACAAAGAAAACTTGACTTACTATCTTTAAAAAAAAAATCGAGTATCTCAAAATAACAAGAAACTCTTCAATAAGGGCGGTTCTAGAGCGCCAGTGCGGAGCTTGGACCCCCTGTGGCCCCTCTTCCAAAAGAATAAATCTATGATATGCAATTTATGTAAAATACTAAGTCACTGTGCTGTAACCTGGGCCAAAGTTAACAGGGATTTTTTATTTGTCATCATTTAAGTTGCGCTGAACGGCGACAGAGGTCCACAGTTTCTCCGCAGCGAGGCTCCCCCCACCCCACTGCTGCAGCGTGCTCTCTCTTTTAAAAAAAAACTTTATTCTAAACTAAACATTTTAAAATCTCCTTCCTGCATTAAATGTGCCCATCCATTAAATGATTGGCCCCATCACGGCCCCAGAGTAAAATTAGTCTAGAACTGCCACTTGCCACAGCAAGTGTATACTACTTAGTATCTAAGAATAATGACTTAGTATCTCAAAACAACGAGAACGTTTATAAATTGACTTATAATTTCGAAATAATTACCTAGTATCTAAATGAACAACTTAGTATCTAAAATAACAAAAAAAACGTTTCCAAATAATCACATAGTATCTGCAGAATATCTATCTCAAAAATGATGACTCAATATTTCAATATAACTAGAACCTTTTTTTTTTAAATGAATTGGTATCTCAAAAATAATTAATAAATACATTATTTTATTATCTTGTCAATAATTACTTAGTTTCACAGTAGTATCACAAATAATTGAGACACTTTCTCGAAATAAAAGGACTCAGTATCTCAAAAGTAAATATAGGCCTAGCCTATTTAAAAAAGAAAACTTTCATAAACACAAAATCAACATTTATGAGTAAGTTTCTAAAACTAATGACTTGCATAATGTTGTTTGTTGATATCACATAGGCGGAAGTTTCCTGGCTCCTAAACTCCGCCTCTCCTTCGCGCAGTCTTTCAGCGCATCCGCGTGCGCAGCTCAGGTGGCACTTGTCTTCGTGAAGCAGCACGATAGGAGCTGAGAATAACTTAGCCCCTGCAGAAGTTAAATTGAGTTAAACTGGTAGTCTGTGCAGTCAAACAGGTGTACCCACACGGTGAGCGGCTGAACGGGACACATGGAGGACACGGGCGGTGCCACTGCGTACGGGGTTTCGCTCGCGGGAGGAGGCTTCGACTTCTACAAGTTTATCCGACAACCTCAAACCATCGTGCGGATACTCAGCTGGGTGAGTGGGTGTAGGGATTTATGTTTTAACAGACTGTGTACAAAGGTTGAAAGGAGACAGCAGATATATCCAACCAGGTGCGCGTGAGACCCCGCTGTCGGTCGGTTTAAAAACATATTTATTTTTGCCGGAACAACAGGCTACTGTGTGCAGCGGCTCCGCGGGGCTTCATGTTGCAGCAGCTGGTGTGTGACAGCAGCTCGGAGACAGCGCAGGTCAACACTACTGTTGTCAGAGGACAAAAGACAGGAAACTGAAACTGAGAAAGAGGCAAAACACAATCTCAAATCTAAAATGTTAACTTGAATCTGTCAGTGATTTCTGCAGCCTGTAACACTATAGCTGTGTTTACCAAAGGATAGAGGTTGGAGTACTCAGATGATCTTGTACTTAAGTTAAAGTAGAAGTACCAGAGTGTAGGAATACTCTGTTACAAGTAAAGGTCCTACAATAACATGTTACTCAAGTAAAAGTACAAAAGTATTGGCATCAAAATACACGTAAAGTACCAAAAGTAAAAGTACTCATTATGCAGATTGTTGTATTCAGAATTATATATATCATACGTTCTGATTTTAATGATTGATCATTAAAGTGTTCTCAAAGCTGGTAAAGGTGCAGCTAGTTGTAATGACTTTGTATACTGCAGGGTAGATTGTGAATTTACTCCAGGTGTAACTAAAGTCTTATTTAAGAGTTACTCAAAATCTGTAAAGTAACTAAAGGTATTAAATACATTTAGTGGAGTAGAAGTACAAAGTAGCAAAATATTGAAATACTCGAGTATTGTACCACAACATTTGACTTAAGAACAGTACTTGAGTACCTAGTTACTTTACACCACTGGAAAGTAACACAACACAAACTCAAATCTAGGATGTGTGATGAACTTGAATCCGTCTGTGATTTATGGAGCCTGTAACACTATAGCTCTGTTTACTAAAAGGAGGTTTACATTCATTGTAAGTTCTAAAGACAAACATATTACTGCCTACTACAATGTTTAGCTTGGCAAAACTTGTAAAATACGAAATATCAATAGTTGTTGTCGTAAAGGTTTTTTTTTCCGTTAATGTATTTGCTTAAAGGGGTTTTCCTGTAGCAGGGAAAGTTCGGGGAAGGGATATTAGCTGCTGGTCACCTGTTGCTAGGCAAATCTTATGGCAATGATTTGTTTTTGTTCTTATGAGGAAACTGATCTGGAAAGTCCAAAATGAATTGTAACCAGACATGTTATACAATCAAATATGTTGTTGTCGTTTAACCCGTGAGATTGTGAGCATGCAGATTGAAGGATTGCTTCTGTCCTTGTACTTCATGGTCAAAAAGAAAGTAAAGATGTTGGTCCTCATTCAAAGTGAGTTTTCTTGTACGTGCTCTCGTCTCCTTTCTGACTCCGGCCTTTGATTATTGAGAGACTGGGTTTGATTTTCATTTACTTGGTTCATGAAGCGTAAACTATTTGTGAGGCATGCAGGGTGATAGGGCTGCACGATTTGGGGAAATAATCTAATTGAGATTTTTCTGAAAGATATTGCGATTCGCGATATTTGTTTTTAAGCGACCCAACTGAAGTTTATTGTAAAATGCGGCCATATCTCCGGCAAGGAAGGTCGTATCAACGTGCTCCCGTCTCTAGCACCCCCGCAGCCTGAGCTACGAGTGAAAGAACTAAGCTTACATGAAACTTCCGTTGGGTTGCTTTAAAGTCAAGCTTCAGTTTAAGATACCCTGTAATAGATGTAAAACATGTGATGGAGCATTACTAACCTGACTAGGAAAGCTCCATTGGAAGCCATTTGGAAAAGTATTTCAAAAATACTTGGAAGGTGATTGGATCAATCACCTTCTATCATGGGCCACTCCTGATTGGTTAACAATGGCTGGTACATGTGGAGCACAGCACTTCCGATTGGTGTGGATGACTGACACACAAGAAGAAAAAAAAAGAATTGGCTTTGCGATTTGATAATCGCATCATTTCAAATCGTGATTTCGACTTAAAATCGATTAATCGTTCAGCCCTACAGGGTGAGTGTATTGTACGGATGAGAAAACACACAGCGTCACCTAGACACTGTAGACAATCCAGTGTGGTAGATGAGGACAGAATGTGCTCTGGTTGTACCAGCTGCTGTGTGTTGCTTGAGATGATGTGTGTGTCACTGGTAAACAGGGCCTAATGTGCAGGTAAGGTGACACCTCTCCCCCCTTGACCCTCACTTTTAATCGAGGTAAATATGTGGTGCTACTGCTCTACCTCTTACACACACACACTTTGTGCAGCTGTGCCCAGCTCATCTCAAATTCACATTGGCTAGCTAATCTCACTTCCACGAAACAGCACCTATGACACAAGGGGGATTGTTCGCTTTGTAGCACTGCCTACAGGTCCCATGATGCACCACTTCTGCACCTGGGACAATTTAAAATTCTAGGTACAATGGCGCTTGGTCTTTTAAAGTGTTGAATGACCTTACTATTGTTACTCTGTAAAGAAAGTGTATTACAAGTATATACACGTTAATTATGTCACAATATGAACATTTCATGATTATCCTGTTCAAAATCATTCTTAAACTCTAAAATGGCACCAATTTATACTGAAATTACTTTATCTTAAATGTTGTTGAAGAATCAAAATATTTATAACTGCATTAGTGATAGGATGCACATTTTTTTTTGGTTTATATTTTTGGGGTGAAAAACAAACAATGTTACATAAGGTAATCATCACAATTTCACCCTGCATAATTAAAGGATACATTTAATAAAAATAAAAATACATGTACATAATGTGTGTATAAAAACTCTTATCACGGTATTTTTCCAATTTATAATGGTATCATGGTAATTATTTATTTACTTTCAATGACTGGAAATGTATTTATATTTATACGTTTTTCCTATCATAGGCAGTCCCTCGAACAAATGCGTCTTAAAGAGACGCTTGACTCAACTTTACTTTAGGCATTTCACCAGTAGTGCTTGTTGAAGCAGATCATATCTTTATACATTCTTCGTACTCCAATAAGTGCTTTCTGTTGAGGTGGTGGGAGTAAATGACTTGTGTTACCTCCTTGGGCAACAATTTTAGTTCGACAACATTCACAATAAATGTTTGTTTGGTCCACGTCAGACGTCCAGACGACAGTCACAGCTCCTCTCCTCGTATGTCATATCCATCTCCAGTCTCATTTTCTTCTGTGTCAATCTTCACATTCAGCTTCACATGTTATGCTACTGCTACTACGTTTGGCACTGTACCCCAGCATTCATTTCAGTGGTGCGGCAGTGAAATGACTCCCGAGGGGACTCCTTTCATTGCCGCACCGCTCGAGCGCCCATCGCCACTTTTTCAACAGTATTGCGGTTTATTAAAAATGAATATCATACAGTATAAAGTTCACAGTATTCGGTATGAAACGGTATACCGCCCAGCACTACCATCTGCATTAAACTCCTATATCTGTCCATCCCGCAGTGAGCCCCCAAAGCTTCCTCTATACACATATAGACGGATAAGGTTAACATGTCTTGTAACATCTGTCACTCGACACAAAAACCATTTGTCTGTTCAGTTCAGAAACACCGTCTGCTCCACTAACGATCCCTCACTTTTGTCTTGTGTTTTGGAACTCCCCCCACTACATTCACTTCCCTACTGTCTCTGTCTTCTGCAATTTTTTGGTTCTTTTTGTTTCACCCTAGCAACAGGATTGTGGCCCATTTTCTCTCTCCTTTCTGCTCTCTCATCTGACCTTGTCCTCCTTCCCACCCGTTCAAACTGTCGCTCTCTATCCTCCTCCCCGATCTTATTATGAGTGTTGTTAGTGGCATCTCTGCAGTCACATGGCAGGCAGCTGCATTCAGAAGTAGGTCACATGGTTAGGTGGGTAACCAGAGGAGACAGCAACAGAGCATGGGACGCTCGGAGGGACCGGGCCGCAGATAGTACTCGTCACTTTGTAAACACGCGATGAGCAGAAGAGTATTTAAAGAGAATGTTTATGATGACACACATTTGTATCCCTGTTTGTGTAATGATGCACATTTCCCCTCTGTGGGACTAATAAAGGTATTCTGATTCTGATCTGATTGCATGTTTTGATTTGTTAAATAGGAAATGGACAGAGGTTCTTTCAGGACTTTCTTTAAATGTTATGACACATTATTTTAGGGTTTTCTGTGGAGATGGCTTTCAGTAGGCACAACCCTGAGGATGTTGCTTATTTTGTCACATGAAAATAAATGTTGAGGACTCACTCTTAGTATATTTGAAATATTTGATATTTAAACTGCTTTACAGGAAGCTCTGTAATACAATGAAAGCTGAACACATTATTTGCATAGAGGGCACAAAGCTACTGATTGAAAACATTTTTGGAAGCAGATCCAAATACCAGATGTCGGGGTTTTGTTTGAATTCACCGCCGGAGTTTTCCAAATGGTCTCCCTCTCAACTACACTTTCATATCACAGTGATTCTGATTCTTCAGTAAGACTTTAGTTCTCTGCTGGTAGATTGTCACATGGTGCTTTTATGAAGTGAAACTAATGGCTGCCCGAAAAGGAAGCAAATCAGTCTCAAAACCACATTGCGCAGTTCTATGTTACTGTTAATCTGAGAAATTCCTATTGTGTGACTTTGCAAATTATGAAATGCCACATTTTCCTTTTCTCCCTATCAATGTAGATATTTGCCCTGGTGGTGTTTGCCTCAATCACAACAGAGGGACATGTCAACACTCCCCACAGTCCCGAAGCAAAGTGCATCTTCAACCAGAATGACTCGGCATGTCATTACGCTATCGGCATCGGTGTGATTGCCTTCCTGGCATGTGTGGCCTTCCTGGTGTTGGACGTTTACGTGCCTTTTATGAGCAACGCAAAGGAAAGGAAGTACGCTGTCATGGCCGACCTGGGATTTTCAGGTGAGCAGGAGAGTCAAAGTGATTTCTTAGTTGGTTTGTTTGAGATTTAAAGCTCCACTAATCAATATTTTATTTTACGATCACATAATTACTTAATGAATTGAGATAGATGTCCCACAGAGAAATGTCAATTTTCTCTGGTGTTCCCTTCAGCTCTGAAACCCTGGCTCCAAAATAGTTGAACAAGCTCTTCATTTATATCAGGGCTACAAAAAGTCTACACATCTTCTGTCCTAGACTAAAAACCAACCTGTTCACATATATATATAATTGTATCCTAATAATAATGAAAGCGTAACTTAACTATATTTCCCTTAGGCGTTGGAGGAGACCAAAAACGGAGCTAAAACAGAGTGTATATTGGACACATCCGACTCCATATGAATGCTAATGTTGTTCCTTATCTCCAGATCAACTTTATGTCAATGTTTTATTTATACAGAAAGTCCCTGAGTAATAACGTAATATGCAACAGGCTGCTGTCTGTTTTCCTGACATAACAAGACGTATATTATACATCGCTGCACGCAGTAGAGGATGAGTTGCGGCAGATGACATCACAGATTGGGATGAGGTTAATCATCCAGCAGCTGTACATGACACAGTTCACAGTCAGCCATTCTTCGAGGAAACAAAGAAGTGGTAGTTCGGAAAACATCTTGTTGAATTGAGCAGATGGCAACAAGAGAGCTCTTTGTGTTCTTTTGACATTGTTGTTAGTGTTTCACAGCATTTTACTCTTCATATCAGGGTTTTCAGCCGAACACTTTTGTTGTCTTTTCATGCAGTGAGTATCTGTGTGTGTTTTTACATCTGTGTCCTTCTATGCTTTGCAGGGGTGTGGAGCTTCCTGTGGTTTGTGTGTTTCTGCCTGCTGGCCAGTCAGTGGGCCAAAACTCATGACGTCAGCGGTCTCCCAGAGGACGCTGCCCGTGCCACCGTGGCCTTCTCCTTCTTCTCCATCGCCACTTGGGTGAGCGGGAATGCTAAAAACAGCTCATATTTGTATTCTCATCTGAGTGAAAGCTTATTACCATATTTCCCGAAATATCGAAATGTATCCTTGAAGCAAAAACTTGAAAGAGACTTGAACCCTGCATACGATCAGTAATCAATGTTCAGTATTTATTTATGGCTATCAGTATTCTCATATGATATCACAGGAAATCCCATAATGTATGTGGAAGTCTACCTGGTTGGTGTGTTCAATTATGGTGGGAACTTTGGACATTTTACGCTTGAATCAGCTGCTAAACACCAAACCTTTTATCACTAGAAACTTTGATTAAATGTGTGTCATACAAATACATGTATTATTGTACTGACTTGATATTACTACAAGGGCTGAGAGCAAACACCCAACATTTGCTTTTTGTTTGTCTTCTGGACAAATCATGGGTTTGAGGCGTCCCACCATCACTTGAATGCACCATTCAGGAGGCTTCAATACCACACATTTGGCTCGGATAATGTAGTTCCTTTCTTTTTACGTAATAAGAAACAAAATCCATTGTTTGCAAAAAGATTAATCTCATTTGAATACATCTGGAATAGTTAAAAAGCTTTTAATTAATAAATTAGATCCACACATATTCTTTTAAACATCTCATTTAATTTTCAAGTCAAATCAAATGCACTTTGCATTATCAGGATTGTCAGTAGGTCAAATCACATGACCCTACTTGAACAGACTAGACTACAGGTGCACTGCGTTTGTTTTAGATCACGTGGTTTCAGTTCCTGTCTTTTTGTTGCTACTGCTTTTTAATCAAATGCAACATGGGAGACTAGCTCTTGTAATACAAGAGGAGCTCTTACTCTAAATGTTCATCTGCCATTTTCAATGCAAATGAAAAAGAACATCATCCACAAATGAACATCATCCACAAATGAACATTAATTAACAAATGTTTTTATTGAACCGGCTCTTATGATGAACTGATTGTTCATAATATTCAACAATTGTAATCCGAGTTGATGATTTACCCATTATTGTTTCCTTCTTCCCGATTGCATGTTATCAGTTACTACCCAACCATGTGTAACAGTTTAATGCAGTATATGTGATAGTGATGGATTACTTCCCCCAATCTAAACCAGTTCAGTTAGAAGCTAATAAGAATATGTCCATCAGTCAAATAAGTCCAAAGTAAACTACGGCACATCCTCTGAAATGCTGTATAAAAACGTGAATCATTGAAAGTACTGGAAAAACTAACTGTAATACGTTTTCGTTGTGCAGGGAATCCTGACCTACTTTGCTCTGGTCCGTTTCCGGCGCGGCGTGAACGATTCGACCCTCCCGACCTACACAGAGCCTCCAGAGGATCACCACACCGCCTACCCTCCCACCTACGCCCCTACCTCCTACAACCCCACCACCTACACCCCTACCACATACTCAACCTATCCCAGCAGTGTGCCCGATATGCAGCCGCAGCCTCCCTTCACCCCCACCCCCCCGCCTCCAGCCGATACCGGCTACCAGCCGCCCAGCTACTGAGAGAAAGGGACGAGGCGGCGTTTCCTCTGTCGGCTCACTGATGGGAGCTGCACTGCGCAGGCTGAGCTATATCATATTGATGTGATTTGACATTTGATTCAACAATCTTTCTAAGTGTTTTTCGACTTAAAAGCCTGAGCAGTGCAACTGCAAGGTGTAGATGAGAGACGCTGCTGTTTACGTCAAAGGGTCTCAAGTCAGATCTTAAGAAATCAGCTGACCGTTGAGATCAGTGCTGACTTTAGACCTGTGTGCAAAGATGCAACTTTTTTTTACCTCATAGGCTGATCCTGCAGAGGATAGGTAGTTAAATTGAACCGAGGGGGTCAAAGGTCATGTGACGTTGTGAAGAATACCTGTGACGGCTCCAGCTCTCTGTTGGAACCTGACGATGTGCATTTGTACATAGATCCTACCGTGCAAAGCTGCCATTTTAATGGTTTTATGTGCCTGGATTTCTTTTCTTATTTGGTTTAGTCAGTGGATGCTTTCTCTTCAGTACATTTATCTTGAGGACCTTTATTAAACTGTTGGGCGGGATGTAATAAATTGACAAATTATTTTGTGGGAGTGCATTGGCAAAAAGACCAGTATAAGCCAAATGTCCACTATCTGTTTTAGTTTTCTATTAAATGTGGGTTCTGTAACGATCAGCAGTTAGGTTTCTTAGCCATAAAAACACATCTGAAAGAAAGTTTTGCCATCTATGTGCTTCATCTCAATTACTACCACTCTTAAACAGACGTGTTTAAGACAGGTACATGAACATTCATAAAAAACCCTCCATTTCTTAAACAAATCAGTATTGGTAAAAGTGCAAAACTAGAGGCGTTTATAGTCAGCCTAACCCTTTGAACTTGTAGCTAACATCAAGACAGAGAAGAGGGAGGAGAATGTATTTAACTGCTCTTATTGATCAGGATTATCTGCAAAGAATGTCCTCACCCTGAAGAAGAGTAACTTATTAACTTCTTGAAACAAAGCTCCCTCTTCACACTTCCTCCAAGAACCTCATGACATTTAGGTTTGTTAACACTGAGGTTTTATCTCCGGTTTACTGGCTCCTTAATCTAAACTGCTGAAGAGCGACTACAGTGGACACACCGTCTTACTTTACAGATGAACACCTCAGCCTGCAGTAGTGGGACTCAAACACCTCGCCTTAGAAAGACCGCTGCTTCTCTTTGTTGCTTTCTGCCTCAGTGATATGTCTAAACTGTCTAGATCAGGTTCTGGCTGTTTCGGCCCTTAATGCTTAACTCCTGTTGTCTTCGGGTCAAATCTGACCGATTTCCTACTTTCATCAATCATAACTTTTTTGTTTTACAATCGATTGCATTAAGGCTTTATGATATCCTTCACAGTAGACATTTGAACATATAAAATTGCTGATCACCACTTTCATTGAATTTTGGATGATTTAGTAAACTTTGTAACACCCATGGTGTTCCCGGTCAAAAATGACCGCCATAAAGAAAAGGAATTATTAACCTTCCAGATCAGATAAAACGCAAACACCCACACTCTAGATGTGCCCATCCCCCCATGTGAATCACACCTGACACACACACACACACACACACACACACACAGAACAATTTGACACATGTCCTGCTCTTATGTGCCCATCCCCCCACATGGATCACACCTGGCACACGCAATACATGTTCATTGTCTGTTCTTTGTATATTTACTGCAGTTTTTCATGTATACCAGTAGTCTGATACAATATTTACAGTTTGAAAGGGTGTTAAATGAAATTTGGTGATGATTCATGTTTTTTGTGTTAATGTAATAGCAGTTAAAACAGGGCCGGTCAAATTTGACCGCGAACACCAAAGTAAGGGGGGGGAAACGAAGACAATAGGAGTGACGCTCAAGAGTTTGTCAGGATCAGAAATTGATTGTGGTTGTATTTATTAAACATGACGCTACTGTGGTACCACATTGAAGACATGTGTACAATACATGGTTGATTATAATGTGGAAAACAACGTGCATGACCTACTGAAGCCAAATATGATAACAATCTGCTGTTGATTTGTCTTTTGTGCCTTAAGGAGAGGAAATAAAGTCCAAAGGGTTTGTTGAATAATTAAAATGTACCATGATTAAATATGAATGATATATCATGTTGAAACTATTCAATTATTATTGGAATCCGATTATAAATCAGTTAAACCTGCAAAACTTTAAAATGTTTGTATCTTCTGGTTAAGACTGAACCAACATAAATGACAGTGAGTCTCTAAATTAAGCCTTTTTATTTACTATAAGTATTGTTGTTGTAACAAAAGGCTACAGCTCAATATGTAATATATATTTGTAGCCCAAATACATTTTTCTTAAAGTTAAGTATGCTTTTATTTAGTAAGGTTAACTTGTATTTAATCAAGGTTCATGTTTGAGATGTGAGACTAGAATGATTTGTAAAAACTGGCACTTCTGCTTTTAGCTCGATTTGTTTTTTGTAATCTGTTTCAATGTTGTTGATTTTTGGATGTTTAAGACATGTGTTGCAATGATTTCATATCATGGTTTAAGAAGCACAACGGGGATTTACTGGAGACCTTATTTGTTTATGAAATAATATCAGGCACAGGATGTAGTTACAATTCAGGATGTTGATTTAGTGGTAATTCCGGTTTTCACTTTTTTTTTCATTCCAATCTTCCTGCTCACTGCAAGGCCTTCGAGCCGGATTGAAACAGGTTATTTTGGTCCTCTGTAGCATGTGACTGGGTTACGCAACAGTCAGTATAAGAGTTAAGAAACATGTACTGCACGTTTTAAAAAGTTGCACCATTTTTATTTAAAAGAGGCCCTCTTATGCGTTTTGCAGTTTCGCTTCCTGTAGTGTGTAATAAAGGTATTTGTGCATTTAAATTGTCTGCAAAATCTAAAATCCCAAAATTTCTCCCCCCCCATTGGACGCCTATGTTTACTTCCGTAACATGGTGACATCACTATGGTTCACCCATGCTCTTATTGGCTAGTGCTCCAACACATTGTATGTAATAGACTAATGGGCAGGACATCTCTAAGTGGTTGACCAATCACAACAGAGCCAGCTAACCAATCAATCAGAGTAGACTGGGCTCTGGTTTCAAACAGAGGGTGAAAAGAGATGCTGCAGCACAGGCAGTATGTGAACAATAAAGAGCTTTTTGAACATTAAAGCATTGAGACATGTCACAGTAGAGACACTAAATACAAATATGAACCTGAAAATAAGCATAATTTAAGTTTATTAAGAAACCACCACTGGATTTCACATGCACAATACATTTAGTTCAACAAAATAATTTAATATCTTACATTAGGCAGGCTTAAGATAAAGATGTTGAAAGAAACTAAAACTGCATATTAAAACCACAGAGTAGTTAAACCTATGAAAGTTAATAAGTTGCTTAAATCATTGTTTACGTCCATTTAAGTGCAACTTTATATTATGAAAAAACAAAAATACATGCACCTATACAACACCTAATACCAACAAAGGAAATACATTATTATGTTCAAATGTAGTTATTTAGCAGTAACTTAGAGGCACCTTAAAATAACATAAAAACATTTAGATTTAAGGAAAGCCACTCCAATGCGCAACATACACAAACAATTGATTACAGGATTTGTTCCCACTGCTCAACTTTTGCAGTAAGTCTTTTTTTTGCTCAAAGTTGGAGAGAGGAGAAAAGCTTCCTGGGAAACGCAGAGTCCACAACTTTTCCTCCGTAGGTGTTTTGTGGAGTTTCGATCTTGAAAGGAGCGCTGTTCTCTTTTTGCACCACCAGACCTCCGTAACACTTTCTACACACCGCCTGGTACTTGTCAGTTCCACCAATCACTTCCACCTGTGGCAGAGGAAACATTGTTACCAGGTTATAAGATTTCTTCCCCCGTTAATATACCACCAGGATTCAAGGTGATGGACACAACTGATGATGAATTAGGGCCACTGTTGGTAGAAGAGGCAAATTCCCAAGAATGTTTTGGGATGTTCTTTGGGATTAATGTGTTATATTTCCGGAAGAAATACTTGAAGGTCTCATTTAAAAGAACACTAGATATTTTTGGTCAAGTTAACTTGTTTCCATTTCATAAATTTCCCAAATTCAGAAGTCTTTCTCTGATAATTACCCCCTCTCCTGCCTAAAATGGTCTTAATACACCCTCTTACACACCATCTAAATAATTTTTATAATTACCGCTGAGAACACGAGATTTCAAATAACAAATAGGCTTTTATTGAAATAAGTAACTGTTTGAGTATTGCGAACAGATTTTGGTATGACCATCTTGTTATAATATAATTCAATATATAGACACGCCATAGTATTGAAGGAAACGGATTGGCCTCCTCACCTCCTTCTCTGCTCCTATCCTCTTGGTGTAGGCAGCCTCTTTGTAACACTGCATGCAGACGGCGTGGAGCTTCACCACGCTCTCCGCTAGAGGGATGAGGTTCAGGATATTTCCAAAGGGCTACAAGAATGCACAGAACAGCAGTCAGAAAATGGATGGAGGTTTAATAACATTACGAGGACAGAACACTATAGAGAGTGATAATGAGCGCTGTTAAAGAGTGCTGCTCATGCAGATTGTTCACCGTCCTCGCTTAAGAATGTTTTTATTGTCTTGGACTTTTTCCAGACAGAGGTGCATTATCAGCATCCACACAGTGTCTCAGTGATGGTGAAATATACATCGAGACAAAGACAGATACTCACTTTTCTCTGAAAGGTTCCATCCAAGGCAGCTACAATGACTATCTTCCCTAAATTGGCCATTTCTTCACAAAACTCCACTGTGTCTGAAAACTACGATAACACAAAAGAAGCAGGGATTGGTTAGTGAGGAATCTGTCCCAAGTAAGACATACTGGTTTCTAAAAGTGAACAATATAAAGAAAGAGAAAATGTGAAGCATATATACACTTACAAACTGTCCTTCATCTATTCCAATGACACAGGCTTGTAATGCCTGAGGCCGCAACTCTCCAAGACGATTGGCTGGTACAGCTTCCATTATGTTTCTAACAGATGGAAGGAATAGAGGGGGGACATTAATATTGACACAGATTTTAAAATGTATCTTATACTAGTAATACATTGCAAGTTACTTTATGCAGGGGGGGTAACAAAATAATTACTAAAGAAAGCGTTGAGATTAACAACAATGGAGGAAAACCAAGTGTGGAGTTTCCGATTTTCTAAGAGAGTTCCTCTAATCAGAATACAAAGGTGACATCAACAGAGTACCGTCTTCACTTGATGCCAGTAGATTCAACATGTGTGACACTCTGCACAAGGGAGTCTCCCACTGCAGCCAGATGGCTTAGTTTTGGCACAATACCGTTGTATATACCGACTTTACCAGCAGCCTCGTCTGTGCACATGTCGACCAACTTTGTCGTCCAGTGATCATGCCTCCTGGAAGAGCTTCAAAGGTCCGTCTTTTATGGCCTGCGCAGTTCGGTCAGCACCCAGTTCAATCAGTCCAAGAAAGTCTAAAGCAACTCTCCGTTGCTGGACACGGACACAATATAAACGATCTCCTGCTCGGTTTTTGTGATGTCCTCAGATCCATGAGAAAGCAGCCCCGAAAATTTTGCAGACTTCAACTTGAGTCTCAACTCCCCACTGATAGTTTGCGCGATGGTCTTCATTCTCCGTGTCCCCCCCTTCATGTGAGTGATAGGCGCTTCCGAGATTTACCCCTAGACGATTTCAGTAAAGGAATATCCTCGAAATGGGAAGACATGGGACGTGCATGTTTAGCTCTATGAAAGTCAAGGAGAAAAGAGCAACCGGTCAGATGGGGACCTTACGTTACCCACCGTCCTGGACACTAGCTTACTCCCAGGAGGAGCAGACTTTGTCGCCCCAAACACTGCCTCGGTGGCCCACATGTCCCAGGGGACCTCTGAAAAGAGAGCCTGCCCGGGTACATCTAAACAATATTCAAGGCTTTATTGTCATGTGCAGAGTAGCTACAGTGTAGATATGGCAATAAAAGACGTCAGTCCCAGGCTCCTCCAACAATGCAACATAATATGTAGGACATAAAACAAATAAAACCAATAAAATAGTTCAAGGAATAACAGAATAGAAATAAAATAGTTCAAGAGAATGTTGTAAGATGTGCAAGTAAATACAAAATAAAATTGAAATAATTTCAAGAAGAGTTTATATACACGTAAATGGAATATGATAAATACATTATAAGATGCAAACAGATGAATGTTTATGGAGGCACTTTACAGAGCTCAGGTGTTGAATAGTCTTATGGCCTGTGGGATGAAACTGTCTCTGAAGCTGGTGTTTTAGTCCAGATGCTGCGGTACCACCTGCCAGACAGCGACAGACAAAAAAGTTGGTGCTGGGGTGATGGGGGTCTTTGATAATCCTGAGGGATTTCTTCCTGAGCCGCTGGGAGTAAAGGTCCTCCATGGATGGCAGCTCCGTCCTGGTGGTGATCTGTGCAGTTTTCACCACCCTCTGTAAAGCCTTACGATTGAGGGCGGTGCAGCTGCCACAGGCCGTGATGCAGCCAGTCAGGATGCTCTCTATGGTGCACCTGTAGAAGGTCAGGATGCTCTCTAGGGTGCACCTGTAGAAGGTCAGGATGATCTCTATGGTGCACCTGTAGAAGGTCAGGATGCTCTCTAGGGTGCACCTGTAGAAGGTCAGGATGCTCTCTAGGGTGCACCTGTAGAAGGTCAGGATGCTCTCTATGGAGCACCTGTAGAAGGTCAGGATGCTCTCTATGGTGCACCTGTAGAAGGTCAGGATGCTCTCTATGGTGCACCTGTAGAAGGTCAGGATGCTCTCTATGGTGCACCTGTAGAAGGTCAGGATGCTCTCTAGGGTAGGGGTGTCAAACTCAATTTCATCGNGACTACCTGCTTATTAAAAGACACCTAAACAATAAGTGTCGCTATGCAACTGGGTGAGGCCACAAAGTATAGCGCAGCATTATGCATTTGTTTACATGCCCACCGGAACCCCGAGGCATTACCAACAGATCAACGCACAATCACATACAGGACATCTCTTTCTCCACATTAAGTGTTAGACATTAGAATTGACTATTCTTGTCTGTCACATACTCTTCTTGTCTGTCACATAAGTGGCGCAACTGAAGCGGTATTGCGCTAAAGGGAAATTATTTGGACCGAAGAGATTTAGATTTGCCGGCTAACGGGAACTCTGACGTCGCCATTTTGTGTGCTTCGCGGATGCGCTCGGCTCCTCTCGACTGCTGCTCGGGTCTGCTCGGTCAGCTTCCGGATGAGGAAGCATTCATTCGACCAACTTACAGTAGATAACATTACAAACATTTTTAACAGGGGCCATAATAGTGTAAATAATGTTTGTTTTGGCAGTTAATGTGTTCTACTTTTTTACATCTGGGAAGGCATTTGCCTTCATCAGATGGAAAGTGTCTTGACCAACAACTTAAGTATTTCTTATAGCTATGCAGGGTATGCAAGGAGCAAACACAAACAAGAACAAACAAACAAGTGAAATGAAGAATAAAATTGAAATTGTACAATATAATATTGTGGTGGTTCATCTTATAATTCAGTCTAGAGAATGCACCAGACAGCATCTACATAAGACCTGCACAAATCTAAATTTTCTAGGGGGAGGCCCCCCAAACCCTTCGTGCCATTTCGTCCGCGCGCATTTTTCAGGGCAATCTCTATTGGGCTCAGGGCCATCTGTAAATTAGCTTAGATGGCCCACAGGGCCATCTCCCAAAATCCTTAATGTCATGCACTGAGAGTCCATGTCAGGTCCTCAGTGATGTGGTCACCGAGGAACCTGACGCTGCTGACTCTCTCCACCGTAGTCCCATTGATGGCGATGGGGGCGTGTCCCTCTCTCTGCTGCTTCCTGTAGTCCACAATCAGCTCCTTGGTTTTGCTGACATTGAGGTTGTTATCCTGGCACCAAGATGTCAGGTTTTCGACCTTCTCTCTGTACGCTGTCTCGTCGCCGTTGGTGATCAGGCTGATGACGGTTGTGTCGTCAGCAAACTTCACGATGGTGTTGGAGCTGTGTATGGCCACGCAGTCGTGTGGGAACAGGGAGTAGAAGTACAAGAACCCAACTCGCCTGTACAGTGGGGTAAGGCTGTCATTTTGCAGCTCAAAAAGTGGGTTATTTTTGCACTGTAGTTAAAAGGCTTTAGCATAGAATACTGTTCTGTTTTACACCTCACTCATGTATTAGTACTCATTTGAGATAAGAGTACAAAAAGTTAAGCTTAATTATGATGTTTCCTATATATATATATATAGGAATATATATAGGAATGAATGGGGCCATGTATCGTGAGATTTTGAGTGACAACCTCCTTCCATCAGCAAGGGCATTGAAGATGAAACGTGGCTGGGTCTTTCAGCATGACAATGATCCCTAACATACCGCCCGGGCAACGAAGGAGTGGCTTCGTAAGAAGTATTTCAAGGTCCTGGAGTGGCCTAGCCAGTCTCNCCTGAAAATTTGAGGGAGGTTTCTAAAAGATAACCCCAACTCTAAGACCTCTGACCGGATCCGGTGAGGTCCTGGAACTATATGGAAAGAATGCTTCGGTAGAGGAAGCAACGGCCCGCCATACAGATCCCTAGTAAACGAGTACGACTTTCTGGGTCGGTGCAAAGTAGAAGTCTACGGGGAACGAAGCGACAGCCCCAAAACATCACTGCTCTAGAGGAGATCTTCATGGAGGAATGGTCCAAAATACCAGCAACAGTGTGTGAAAACCTTGTGAAGACTTACAGAAAACTTTTGACCTCTGTCATTGCTAACAAAGGGTATATAACAAAGTATTGAGATGAACTTTTGTTATTGACCAAATACTTATTTTCCACCATCATTTGCAAATAAAGTCTTTAAAAATCAGACAATGTGATTTTCTGGATTTTTTTTTCTCATTTTGTCTCTCATAGTTGAGGTATACCTAGGATGACAATTACAGGCCTCTCTCATCTTTTTAAGTGGGAGAACTTGCACAATTGGTGGCTGACTAAATACTTTTTTGCCCCACTGTTTATATATTACTTTAAGCCAAATTGTAAATAAATGTGTTAACCTACCTGGTAATAAACCTGTTTCTGATTCTGATTATAATAGTGTTTTTGGAACAGGCATTTTATTATTTATCCAGTAGTGGGCAGTAATGCAACGTTTGGATTCCAACCACCTCTAAAAATAATCCAAGAAGAAGAAGATAAAATAAGAAGGAATGTCCCCACTAGAGGTCCTCTTTTGCCAAGGTATCAGGACAACAAAAGGCACACAGAATTTCTTCCTTTCTCTTTAAAAGCAAATAATACAATCCTATATTTAGTTTAAATCGAAATAAAGTCTACTCTTTTGGACAAAATAATAATTTATTTTCTTGTAGAAATATTTTAAGCAATCTTAGCTTTACATTGTTCTTTTGACATTTCTATTTTAGCCTACTTAGTTTGTTTAGTGCAAACATTTTATTACCTTATGTATCGCTTGTTTTTGTAGGGAAATTGCAAAAACAGATGTGCAAACATTTACAATTCAGAGCAAGGTAACACAGTCTTAAGATCTTTCATTTTTGTTATATTCACAAACACAAAGACTGGTATATTTCTGTAAATCAATTAAAACAGGGTACTTACTTGTCATGTGTTGCCACGCCTGCGTCAGAATAACGAGTGTCTTTTGCATACTTGATCACCAAGCAGTTGTACTGGGCTATCTGGAACCTGCGCACTCTCCTCATCAATTCAGTGCTTCACAAATAAAGATAATAGTTTAGTTAACGTCAGAAGAAACATAACTGTACATTAAAATGACATTTCCTCTAACAACAATTTTAAACGACATTCTACTACACGAGTCAACATATACATATACTATATTGTGATATTGTTTAGTATAATGTGCAATATCGTTTTAAAGTGGTGCTACAATGTATTAAAAATACAAAGCAGATTACATAACTTGTGATTCATAACCTCAATAGACAGCAGCTGGGTAAACAATGGAGGATATTTGGCGGGATGTTCAAGTATGAGCGGAATATATTTTTAACATTACTTTAAAATGTTGAAACTGAATGACAACAGCTTGCAACTGATTGAAAAGGAAGTGCATTTTTACTGTTTTATGGATTAAAAACTCACCTTTTGCCTGAAAACATTGGTCCAAAGATGATCTAAAAACAAGAGTGAAGGGTGGTTAGTAAGACTAAGGAAGTCAGTAACGTTGATACAGCCTATGGTCAATAACACACATATAAAGATATAATTGATTTAATAAGACACATAACTGTAGCTAATACTCAGTCCTGTTTGTCCAATTTAAAAGGCATAGACTACTTTGTTCACGTCAGCAAATTGATGGGATGTAAATTGAGGCAAATAAAAAATAAATAAAGTTACTAACCTGAATTTGTCCCCGTGCTTTCCTTGGTGAATTTGGCAGAACTCTTGGGAAATCCACACAGTCCATTTTGACTTAAATACGCTTTAATTAAGTAAATACAGTACAAAAGTAACATATAAATGTAGTCACACAGAACAGTACGAGTGAAACTGACTGTTAAATATTTCGCGCCTTTGCAGCTTCAGAGTCACATGATTCTTGAACCAATCAGCTTCCACGGAAATTCAACGGATGTGGCGACAGACTTAACTGACCAATCAGCGAAGTCTGACTCCCATGGTGGGAAACGCTTGTTCGGAAAAATTGGGGGAATAATCCTAACCTAACTAATTGAAACAAACTCTGATTATTTTCCTTATTTTAACAAAAAATACCTTAATCAAAATCACCCCGTTTCCCATCATCTTGTTGAGCCTCATATTATATCACTCAGTCAAACAACCTCAAAGGAAGAAGAGCTTTAAAGAAATATGAAACTTTTTTTTAAATCAGACAAATATCTTTGCATGATTTTACTTCCTCACTCTGTAGGGGTCACATGGTTTGTCAGAGAGATTGTTATGGAGACAATATATTCAGTAGTTTTCCCTTCCCCCTCTCTGCTGTAAACGCGTTTTCAAGGTCTCGCCAGCAGTTACAGGGAACCGTTCAAATGTAGCTTTAGTCTAAAGTCCAGTGCTTCAGCTGTGGCTCGGATTTATCTGCCTGCAGACTTTGGAAACTGCAGGAGAAAACATGTCACACTGGACTGATCTGAAGAAAGATGTAAGAGTGGTAAACCTTTTATTTTAATCTCCTCTAGTATTATGATATTGTTGTGCGCAGAGGTGGGAAGTAACTAAGTACATTTACTCAAGTAGTGTAAGTACAATTTTGAGATACTTGTACTTTACTTGAGTATTTCCATGTTATGCTACTATGTACTTCTACGTCACTATAAATCAGTGGTAAATAGTGTTATTTTGCTCCACTACATTTACTTAATACCTTTAGTTACTTTGCAGATTTTGATTAATGATGTGAACTATAATCAACTCAGACTTTAGTTACACCTTGAGTAAATACATAAGCTACCCTGCAGTATACAAAGTCAAATAAAACTAGCTGCAACTTTACCAGCTTTGATAACACTTTAATACATAAATAATTATAATCAAAACATATAATGTATGTTATTCTGAAATGGACCTACCTATCTGCATAATGAGTACTTTTGGTACTTTAAGTATATTTTCATGCTAAAACCTTTCTACTTGAGTAACATTTTGAATGCTGGACTTTTACTTGTAACAGAGTACTACACTCTGGTACTTCTACATACTTAAGTACAAGATCTGAGTACATCTTCCACCTGTGGTAGTGCGTATGAGAATTATAATCAGTGGTGGAGGAACTAGGCCAAACTAGTAATACCGAAGTGTAGACGTTAAAACTAAAGTAAGTCTTGCATTCAAAACTGTATTCAGGTTAAGTGTCAGCATTCAAAATATAGGAGTGGCAGTTGGTAATGCATAATAAATCTGAATGATTAACTAATTCATATTTACCATGAATAATCTAAATCTGCGTAGCACCTAATATTATCAAAATATCTTAAGTAGAGTAAAGTAGCTTTCAATATTTGGAGTAGAAGGAAAAGTACTAGAAAAAGAAAATAATCAAATAAAGTAGGCGTCAGTTACTTTAAAATGTTATAATTATAAAAAATGTTTTAGTTATTAATACAAATAAACCATAATACCATGTATTATAAATGTTATATATTTTAATAAAATGGGCATATTCTTACCTGAACTGTTATGTTTTATATATTCATTTCATTTTATGTTTTTAGTGCACAATTGTAATTCAACTGTTAATGTTTATATAAGTATTTTTATTCAATTTATTTAGAATTAGACACAGGTATATTGGCAAAAAGTTAACACATACATATAAGCCAATTTGCTTTGTGTAAAATAGTGCTTACATAAACATAGTAAAAGGAATGAAATTGTAAAAAATGAGCAATTATATAACTATAATAAAACATCTTGCTTTTTGAAACTATAACTTTTGTATTTATGTTTAGGCTACAAGAACAATAATATACTAGAAAAATATCAATCAATCAATCAATCAATCAATCAATCAATCAATGTTTATTTATATAGCCCAATATCACAAATGTTACATTTGTCTCAGTGGACTTCACAGTTTTTACAGAATATCAGTATGACAATTTGACACCCTCTGTCTGACCAATAAGTAAATAAAACAGAACATGACAAGTTACCCTGAAGAATTAAATAAATGCAGTATTACAGAATAATAATAATAATAATAATAATAATAATAATAATAATAAAGAAAGGTTGCTCCATTTTACTTCCTTGCATGTTTTCTGTAGTTATATGTGTATGCACCCTGCACAATGCAGTTAAAACGGCCCAGCTCTCAGAACTAAATGAACTCAGAGACTAAAGCAGGGGGCTAATGCAGGGGAGGGCGCTGTTCACCGTGTTCCTCTGCGGCTCATGGGGGTCGGTGTCTCGGCTCTCATGGCTGACAGCAGTCCCTCTGTGTGACAGGATCTCGAGAAGCAGTACTCCCCCAGCCGGTGGTCGCACAGGATGTCTGCAGACGACGTGATCAAAGCTCACGTGAAGGCTCTGAAGGAAGGTCGGTGTGTTTTGAAGCTAACATGCTAATTAGCAACAATGCCCGGCATAAATCCGGTTATTAGCACACAGGGCAGGCCGGGGCAGCGTCAGAGCAACACAGGTGTTCAGATAAACTGTAACCCCGTGGATATCTGTCAGTGTCGGAGAATTTAAGCCCTAAATAGGAGATATCCTTTTTTAAAAGATATTTGGAAACGCAGGCTCAAGCTGTGAAAACAAATGTCAAACGTTTTTAAAATGAATTAATAGGCTATTTTTAGACTATATTTGTGTATGCCTACTAATGTAAGCTATATTCCTTGAACAACTTCAATTTAAACAACAGAGGCTATAAAAACGCCTCTTCTTTACATATTCTATAACAAATTGACTTAGTGAGACATTCATTGAATTGGGTATGCATACTGTCCATGGTTTCGCAGCGAAAACTATAAAAAGGAAATTGTATATGAGGGTCTTTAAAATATGTTGCTCTTCCTTGTTAATAAAGTGTTTAACATTTTCTGTTTTTATTTAACCTCATTGAGACATGTTCTGTTGTACAACTTTACTGTGAATATATTTTGTTAAGTAAAAGTAATATATATATATTTTTAACTAACTAACATTTCGTAAGTTTATTTATATAGCACTTTCAACACAAGGCAATTCAAAGTCCTTTACAAAAGTGAAAGACATTAAGAACACTAAGAAATAGTGCAGCGGAAACACATTATAAAATGGCATTTCGGCATTTCTTCTTTCAAGAAAAGAGAATAAAACAAACATAAAACATGAATAACACAGGTATAAAATAAATGAATAATAGTGTGTAACAGAATAAAAAAACATGTTATTAGTTATTGACTATCTATAATTGATGAGTTTTAAGTTTTCCGTAGTTTGATTGAAAATCGGTTTCTTTATAAGTATAAAAGGGGCGTTCTCCTTTCAGCCACACAGATATAATATTATGTTAGGATATTATCAAGTGCAGCATTTTAAAACACATGTGTTTTACACATGTGACACAACACAAGTTGTGAATGTATTTATGTCAAAATCAGTAAAAAATCAGTCAAAATGTGTTTTCATGTCCCCAACTTCTTTTAATATTGACTAACTCATCATTCCATGCTTATTATTATTCTGTTTTTTTAACTTTAATGTATTTATTGCATTTTTTTCTTCACAAACTTATATTGCTTTACGGTGTGTTTCCAGGTACGGAGCGTGCCCGTGGTCTGGCTCAAACGTTGCTCAACGTGCCGTATGGGGAGGGAGATGGAGAAAAACTAGATGTTTACATACCCAGCACCAACTCTTTGGGTACATACATGTGTAACATATGACATATACAGACACATATTTAATGTGTAGGGGTTTAACTGACCTGATTCTCTCTGTTTCAGATGTCCCCCTTGTTATTTACCTACATGGAGGCTACTGGCAGTTTCTCAGGTACTGCATTATACTCTCTCTTGCATCTCAGTTTGATTTCAATTTCTTGCTCATGATTTTGACATTGATCCTTTTTTCTCATGCAGCAAGGAGGATTCAGGATTCATGGCTGTTCCACTCGTTGGTAAAGGTGTAGTGGTGGTTGCCGTCGGCTATGACATCGCCCCCAAAGGTACAGATTTTCAATTCTGACAAGGTTGTCTCTCTAGGTTGTGGAAAATAAGACATTTTTTTATGTATATGAAATGGGAATGATATCCTTCTGCTTGTGTCTGCTTCAGGCAACATGGACCTGATGGTGTCTCAAGTCCGCCGCAGTGTTGTGTCTGTTGTCCAGCAGTATTCTCACATCAGGTACCTCTGCTTGTTATCGGTGATACTTATTACTGAAAACATTCATCTTAAAAATATAATATGTAACTTTTTCAATTACAAAGGACTGGATCTCCTATATATATTTGTATTTATCTCTATACCTGTGCAATTCAAAATGTTTCCAAAAATGTTAAAGCTAAAGAAAGATACAATTTCTATCACAGTAACAGTACGTTTCATTTGGTTTCCTCCAATCGTGTTCTATTTATTTTTTGCATGCGTCAGGATTGAAGCTGTCATAAGTGTACTCTTTATCCAGTTTTAAGCCACAATTGTTCTATCATGCTATATTTGAATAATATAGTGTAGGACCATACCTATATAAGGCATATTTATACTTTTTATTTTTCAAAATACCAAATAGATCATGCATTTTAGCCAGATTTTAGCCATTCCTCATTTCACTCAATTTAACACTGTCTTTGCATGGGCTGATTCTGTGAGAACAGCACCATCTACAGGCCTGGCATATGTACTACAGCGTTTCCAGCGCTTTCGAACGGCAATGTCCGTGGCTGTCTCCTCCTGATTGGTGGAGTTGGCCCAATAGCCGTAGCGCCACTTCTGTGACGTCATAGAAGTGTTCAAATGTGGATCAGTCTGTATCAGATCCGTTGCAGCCCCTTTTTAAGAGATTTGGGTATAAAGGAAAATAGAGAGGGTTGTGTTTTCTGACACTTGGTGAGTTCCCTGGAACACCGGGGACACATATTCATGTATAAAAGACGTACAAAATTGCATTTTTCATGATAGGTCACCTTTAACCAGATGAAGGGTTTTAGTCATCAGGCATCTTGATATTAAGGTATCGGAGACACAAGCTGAGCAAACATTAGCCACAGCTAACTGGGAAGCTTTGTGTCTGCTGAACTGCTTCTGAAAAACACAGATTTTAACAGGAAGCTGTTTTCTCTGTGTTTTACTGCTTTTAATCACCGGTTGGTTTGTTTTCGAGAGGAGGAGATCTTGGTGTTTTGTTTGGCTCCCAGCTAGTAAAATATGTGGAGCAATGATCACAATAGCAGTTACAACAACTCCAATGATCCCATGCTCCTTCCATGTTTCGCCGAACTCTGACCCTGCTCTAAAAAAAGCCACAAATCCACTGTCTTGGTTAAACTTATTTTAATCTGTCCATCAGCGGCTTGTACCTGTGTGGTCACTCTGCCGGGGCTCACCTGGCTGCCATGGTCCTCTCCACTGACTGGTCTGAGTACAGCATCACTCCTCAGATTAAAGGTAAGGTCCGACAGGTGAAATGCGTCCAACTGACAAACACTAAATACTTTAAAAGAAGCAGACACTCAGAACAATTAAGACCAATCCAGCTCATGTACTTTTTACCTTTGTTGTATTTTCTCTAATTGTCTTGTAGGTGCTTTCCTTGTTAGTGGAATATACGACCTGCTGCCCATCCTGTCCACCTACGTCAACGAGCCTCTGAAGATGACAGAGTAGGTTCCTTACTGCAGTGCATGTTCCTTTTAAGTGCAATTACATGCACTGTAGAGATCTGATAGCTATACACTTTTTACAACCTACCTGTGCAGAACCAGTGAGCATTATATTGTTTACATAATTAGAGTTCTGCTGAAAGAGAACAGATCTTAAGCTGGTTTATGCTATATGAATACAGGGACATTGGCGGGATTCAGTAGTTTTTGTTACAATTTCTTATGGACATTTGCAAGTCAGATAATACAGAACAACTTTGGATCGGTTCTTCCCAATCCATCTTAATTTGGAATATCATGTGGAAGCTATACATTTTCTTTGGGTCACTCCACCGATCATTGAGTTGCTTAAATCCTTTTGTGGCTCCTGGAAGAGCTATGCAAATTGTGATAAATTATTCTATTAACATCAGTCTTAATTTATAAATATTCTATAGATATTTTATTTTTTCCAAAAAATCAGCTATGCCATGCCAAGCCAGCTTTACTACATTTTGAGCTCCTTTAATTCACATAACTACTGGACCAATAGTGAACTGCAAAGAGAAGAGCTTCCAGACTAAAAATGAGATCATGATCCAGATGAGGAATCAGTGTAGTTTGAGTTAATTTAATGTGTTATTTTCTTTGTGGAAGAGATCTGTATGGGTGTGTCTGTGTAATAATCCTGTGCTGATTTGTTGTACCAGTCAGCATTTGACTCCTCTGTCCCCCGGGTGTCACCTGTTGGCAGGGAGGTGGCGGTGAGGAACAGCCCCAGTCAGCTGGTCCCTCAGCTCAAGCTCTCGTCCTCCAGCTGCCACATCATCGTAGCCGTCGCTGAGAACGACTCGCCAGAGTTTCGCAAGCAGTCAGAAGAATACTACAAAGTCAGTGCTGCTGATGAACACTATTACTGTTAGATGTTAAAGGTAGTATTTATTTAAGGTGGAACTGTCTTGTGAGCAATACAGTGAAACAGGCAGGATTGTGTAGCGTGTGCATCCCTGTTTAAAGTCCAAACAATACCTTACTATTAAAAACATAGCAAACAAGCGCTACTGGTCAACAACTCATTGGGGTTGATTTTAAAGGTTGCAGATAATTATTATTTTTATCATCAATAATCAGATATTTTTACAGATGAATGGCTTTGTTTATAAAATTTCAACAAATAGTGACAAATGTCCACCACAAAATGTTGAACCCAAGGTGAACTTTGATGAATTACGTGTTACAATTAAAAATAAAATAAAAACCAAGACAGGTAACAAATCCTTTACCTTTTTAATTTAGGAAACTGTAACAAGACAAAATGTTACATTTTATATTTGAACGTTAAACAATTGATTAGGAACCAACATTTTTTAAATAGATAGATTAAATAGATTCTATCATTTTTAAATCAATATTTTCTGTCAAAATATTTATAATAAGCGTGTTGTGTCGGGGATCATTTTAAATTAATGACAGCCTCACTGTACAATTAACCTTTAATTACCCTGTTGCTATTCACCATGTGCTAATAGTTTTTTCAGTGTGTGATTTGTAAGCATTCTGTGAATATGTATTATTCTCTTACCTCTGTCTCCTTGCTTTAAAGACTTTGGAGGCGTCAGGACTTGATGTGACCTTGGAAGATGTGGCCAACACAGACCACTTTAGTATCATCGAGCAACTTGTAGATGGGGAGTATCACCTGACAAAGGTACAAAGACTAAAAAAACAAAACATAATGAATGTTAATGCTATTTTCCATCATTTCTTTCTGTACTGACAACAGCAAAAGCCATTGTAGTATACTTACGTTTTTATTAAACATCAAACCCATTTGAAGTAGTTTCCCACACAAAACTTTTGGTAGGAGCAGTTGTGTTTTGATTCATTTCTATTTTCCTCCGTAGCTTCTCTTGGAGACGATGGGGAAGAGCTGAGGTGGCAGTCTTTGATGCATCATCTAATATCCACATACCTCTGTATCCACATGCACCTCAGAACAGGGTCATTGTGAAATGATAATGATAATATATGCATTATTTCAGGTTTGTACAACAGTAAATGTACAATCTTGCATGGATTGGTTTGACTAGTTAACTCTATCATGACCTCTATGTTCACTGTAGCTACTACTGTCAGAACCTGAGTCACTATAATGATGGTGATTGTAGCAAATTCTACTACTTTTAAACCTGCTCATATTCAAACAGACTTTTAACCGACCACAGTGCACAATGTTATCATCAAGAAGTACTGTTCCACCGGCACACTGAGAGTTTTAGAGGTCATGATGAGTTTTGGCATATTTCCAGTGTTTTGTAAAAGGGTGGGTCTGTCTCTTTTGTGATTTTCGTTCTTGTGACAATCTGAACCGCCACTTAAAGACCATGAGTAAGACAACAATACTCATTTCGGGAGTGCTGATGTATCATACAAAAAAGAATAAAGCTTTTGTTTTGTATACACATATCTCCCCCTGGGAAATTGAATGAACACTATATATTTGCACTGTTTATTTGAGCCTAATATAGAAGATAACTGATATTTAAATGCACATATTTTTAAAGATCAAATGAGACTAAATGTCCCTGATGCACATTGTTACTGCGCTTGTTCTAGTATCTTTGGTAATTGTTTACAAAATGTCTTAATCATTACTGTAGATTATAGAGAGAATCATCTCAATAAATATATATATATATTTGAAAATCTCTGTAATTATGTTGTTTGTTTTGGTATGCATAGGCTACTAGTAGAAGAGATTTGCTTTAATTTGATTATAGTGGCATATTATATAATGCTCCAAAACAAGATGGTAATGTCTTTGGATAAAAGTGTATTAGGGAAATGTTTACCATTGATATGAGGTAGGCCCTGCATCATTACTATTGTCAACCTCTCTGGAAACCTTTTTTTATATATACCTTTCTTATCCCAAATAAAGTTTGTAAAATTCCCACAATCTAAACAAAAAACCAAGGTAACTTTATAAGTCAACTTCATGTAGCTAAAACGAATAAAGTCTTAATAAAACAACCCAAATAATACCTTAATACACGTTATTCTGTTTAGTTTGACTTTAAATTGTAGTTTGGTTGTTTCATAGAGATGCTTGTGTTCTTAATATTGAGTCCACCTCATCTAGATCATCAAAGGTGTGTTAGATTAAGGCTGTATCAATTATTAATGAACGGTCAAGTTTTTTAGGAGCTTTTTCACCCCTAAATGTTTAGTGGCCATGGGTGGAGGGATTGTCCCTATCTAAAAATGATTTTCCTCTTACTATTTCTGTTATTTTGTGAATTTGTAGTCAATAATACATCATATATCAGTGTTAATTATTTTTGATTGGTTCAATATCATTTGCTGTTCAGTAGTTGACGTTTTGGGGGCAGTTTGGGAAGTTGAGTGTTGACATCAGTTGGTCTCCAGGCAGGAGGAGCTAATCGCCCGGAGATCACAGCCCATCAAATATGGCCAGTCGGTCGAGCTTGGATACCCTCTGCATCAGGTAAGCCTTAAGGTTTTTAAAGTCACAAAATGACGACCTGATGACTCTTACCTCCGTTAAGCGTCCTAAGTCCACTGAATAAGAGTGTTAGCAGTTCTAACGTTAGCATGACATAAGAGTATGCTAGCAATCTGAGTTGCTAGCTGGTGTTAGCTTCACGGCTAACATGTTTAAACGGACCGGTGTAGTTCCAACTCTTGCATAAACAAATGCTTAGCTCTCTTTATATTAATCGACATTTCAGTATTTCTGATGAAGGTCATGTTTAAACATTTTTCTGGGACTGAAGTCAGCGTTTTAAGGTTGACTTTTGAACATTTTCACTTTTTTGAAAGCCGGTCAAAGTTTATTAGTGTTATCGGGAGTGCACAACACCGGCTCGTCGGGTCCGTCTGTCTTGGTGGCTGGCAGGCAAAGATACATTAATTTACTTATCAAAAGAGCAATGTTGCTGCAGCTTTAACGCTATCTTGTCGGTTCTACAAGGACTAATGTTTGTTCTCTTTATTTCTTAACATAACAGTACTGTACATAATGTCTTGAAACCGTTGTTATGTGGGCGGTCGATGCTGAGGTTATGTACTACTTGTCTGTTTTTCTTTTACCATGTTAAACACGAGTTACTATTTGTTATTGGTCAAAACAAATGTGTGTGTTGAGCTTAATAGGTGTTGGATCTGTAGTGTCACTAAAGGTCTGAAAAAGTGACATAACCAACAGAAGATATACAAACATTTGCACTATGGTGGTTGTCCCTGTTTAATGATCCACTTAATCTGATATATGTATTACAATGCCCTCAAAAGCCACTGAGACATCCCTGTCAAACCTCTGATGAATATCAGTTAGAAAGAAAACAAATGTCATAGGGTGACAGTGAGACCATGAGAAGTGGTTGAATGCTCCAAAAAAGCTTCTAGGTGAAAGTTATGTTTTTCTTTTGTAGGAATACATCTGTAAATATTAAATAGGTATACTCTTAAGTTGTAACCTTTGGCTGCTTAATAAACTGGATTCATTGATAATATGAATACGAAATTATACAATTTATGCAATTGACATCCTCTGAAAATTGGTGTTAGGGTCTATGACGAGCACACTCAGGAAACAGTCAAGATTTTAAAAAGTCAAACACACACTAACACACCTCTGCTGCCCTTGTTGTAACCTTAAATGACACAGTGGGCATGAAACATAATGGAGACTTGGACGTATTAAACCATCAGGGGATTTAGACTTATATTTTCTGTCTAGACATCTTCAGTCCTCTTTGGAAGTGCAACCTTGGCTTTTAAAAGTGAATTCAAAACCTTTTGTTCAAGATTCACTGTGTTCCCCCGCCGAATAATCAATTACTGTAATCCCATTGTTATTCTAACAATCACATAGTACACCTTATTTTTTATTTAAGCCTCCCCTTTTCATTTTTGGAGTCAACAAGAAGGGGTGGAAACTTGAGATAGGGTAATGGAGAGAAAAGGAGGAGAGTCTGAAGATAGGGATCAGTTATTCATGTGGGTCAGACGGAGGGTTGAAGTAGACCTAAAGTTCATTATGGGATGCATGCGAAGGAGAACAGCATGATGGTTACAGCGTGTTCAGGAGACAAGAGGCAAAGGAAGGGTGAATAATTTAATTCATCATACAGCGAGGCAGTGTTTGGGTCTGTGCTGTAGAGAGACGGGGAATATGGGCAATGTGTACAATAGTGACAATAAGGGCATTATTTGTAGGCCAAGTTTGACATGTCTGCGTGTAAGCATGTTAGTTGTGTAATATGAACTTGTTGAGAGTCGCTGAAGAGGCAGAGCGCATATGTAATGGTTACCAGCTGAATGGGATGTGGTTGAAATATTTCCTCAAACCGGCTTGTGTTTTTCTCCCATGTTTTGGAGTTTTCTTCAGCTGCCTAATATTGATCTCTCACTGAGACCAACATTACCGCTGACGCTGTTGTGACATTTATTTTGGGTTGCTTAATGGTGATAACTTATCCATTTAATTGCTCCTACTTCAGTCTCAGAGTTATTGCCACAAGTTTACCATAATTGTGCAATTTACCATGGCATCATCCTCCAACGCTAAAAATTCCATTCATTTTGTAGCTGCATTGCCACGGTAACTAATTATGATTCAATCTCAAGCAATCATTTGTAATTGCTAGGAAGGTGGTAAAAAATGTTTAAGGAAATGGCTTTCTGAACTGCAAGCAATAAGGCTTTTCGGTACTGAATGTGCAAGGAAAAACATCTAGTAAAATTACAATAATTATAACATTTGTTCAGTTATTACTTCGCAATGATTATTTTTTAACCACATTCAGTTAGCATGAAAGGGTTGATAGAGCTATGACTTATGACTGTACATGCTGGTAACTCTTGACAACGGAAAGGTCAAGGTTCATCTTGGCACTCTAGTTCTCACAAAACAAGCGCACCTCTCATATTTCAGCGTGCAGGGTGTCTCTTGGCGTCTCATTCTAACCTACACAGTCTTCAGAACGTTGACTTCACAGTTTTAGATTTGGTTGTTTGGTGAAATCACAGTATCCTATTTTCCTATCTTTGACCTTAAGATGAGTTCCTTACAACCTTACGTTTACTATTACCTGAACACATTAGGCCTGAGAGGTGTCCGACTGATACTACAACTCATCAGGTGTATATTTGTATCTTTTCAAATATTTCTTCCACGAACAGATTAAGTATTGGCTTGTTTTTTACTTGTTGAAATTGCATTTTAGCTAATGCTCTTTAGTCAATTCCCTTAATCCACAGAGGACGTTATTAATCTCATGATTTGATCAATGTAATGGGTAGATGAGGGCCTCAACAACATTCTCACTCATTAACGTGTCACACTTTGCCTCCCTAAAGATTTGTCTTATTTTAAATTACTTTTTGTGGAGGTGGTCTTTATTTGTGTGAGATGACCCACATGTGCTTCAAAAACTCTTGAACCCTTACGTCCAAGTAAAAACATGAAAAGGTCTCACATCTATTAGAGTTGACTGTTTTTGAATGTGCTGATCCGGTATTGGTCCAACACTGGCAAAATCACTGGACCGGATCACGGGGATAAGGAGTTTAACCAATCATTGAGGTGGAGGCCACATCAAGTGTAATGTTATATGTGAAGTGGTGCAGAGCAAACTAGTTTTCCCCACACCGCACAAGCGATTTACAGTTTCAGTGCACATATAAACATAATTTGACCTTAACATCAAAACAGAGCGAGGACGGGCCTTTAGCCTACTCAGTATGCAGATGAGAAGTTCTGCTTGAGTACAACAAAGCTTTGTTTTGAACAAAGAACAAAAGAACTAGCCGCCTATTTTCCCAATTCGTCATCCTCCCCACGTTCATTCTTTCATCTTCCCCAGCCATTGTTTCGGTGTTATTTAATCCAACATCCTACAGATCTTTGATAACATTTGACAAAGAAGCTGCAAATAGGGTTTGTAATGTTCATGTAATGAACAATAACTTAACAAGGTGTTTTGAATACCTAAAGGAAATATGTATATTGAATTTTAAGCAAAATAAATATATAGATGTATTAAGATTTTTATCTTTTTTACAGTTGTCTGTTTTTGTTATATTTTGTAAAATACCACATCCCCCATCTTGCCTCTAATGTGCCTCTCTCCCTCAGTCCCAGGCTGTAGGGAACGCCCCCCCCCGTCCGAGCCTGAGGATGGAAACGATACTTCGATGAGCTCCTTCGGCCTCTCGGTCCGGGGTCTCCCTCTGGCCTTGGTGTCCATGACACAAGCTACCGCCTCAGACTCACGCTTCCACCCTAAATGGCGGGCGATCACAGTTGCGACCCTGCTAGCTTTAGTGCTCATGCTATACCTGAACCGGACAGTAGGGGGCAAAAACGCTGCTACGAGAGGTGACTATCGCAACGGGGTTCACAGTTTGCAGATGCACAGCGAGGGTGAAGGGGGCCTCCTCAGGGACATAAACAGACAGGCAGCACAAAACCCCTCCCGCCACCAGAGAGGGTTAAGACCTTACAACAACACGTACCCGTTAAGTCGGCCGGTGAAGACGGAGCACGGCATCCGCTACCGTATCGCCGTGATCGCGGATCTGGACACAGCGTCACGCAGCTCTAAGGACCAGACGTGGTTCAGCTACATGAAGAGAGGATACCTCACTATTTCAAACAGTGCCGACAGACTGGAGGTGGAGTGGGATGCTGACACGGTCACGCTGGAGAGTCATCTGGCTGAGAAAGGACGAGGTACGGGAACATTAACAAACACACTATTCTCACAGTAGAATGTTAGTTACCTCAATTTGTCTTTGTCCCGGTGTTGCAGGTATGGAGCTGTCTGAGCTGGTGGCGTTCAATGGTCACCTGTACAGCGTGGACGACCGTACCGGCGTGGTGTACAGGATCGAGGGCAACCAGGCGGTCCCCTGGGTCATATTACCCGACGGGGACGGCTCCGTCTCCAAAGGTCAGTCTGAAAATATGTCCATATACCACTATCCATGTATTTCTATATATCTGATTCTGATTTACTTCAACTTCACAACCTCTTTTCCACAAAAAAAAAGTCTAGAAATGAACCAAAAAAAGTAGTGCATTGAAGCCTTTCTTATATTGTTTTGGTGTTCAAGAGGTTAACGAATCACTCCTTGCTTTGTGTGCAGGATTCAAAGCAGAGTGGCTGGCAGTGAAGGATGAGCACCTGTATGTTGGCGGCCTGGGCAAAGAGTGGACCACCACCACTGGGGAAGTCGTCAACAACCACCCGGAGTGGGTGAAGGTTGTCGGTTACCATGGTGACGTGCAGCATGAGAACTGGGTGCCCCACTACAATGCCCTGCGGAGCGCCACAGGGATACAACCACCAGGTCAGGACTTTTCTTTATGGTCCTGTCACATACACTATCAGTCACTGTTGGTATTGGATCTTATCAGGGGTACTGATGGTGCAGTTTGAGTTTCAGATGTTGGGGGTTCCTTATTTAAATAAAAAGAAAACAGGAAGAACAATGCTGTATATAAAATCACCATTCATTTCATTGGAGGATAACGTTTTTTGCAACTTCTTTAATGAAGAAAAAGTTGAGAATTTACAACTCGACCTAAGAAAATATCCAAGTCTTTTTTTTTTTATCTTGTAAATTCTAGGTTTTTTTCTCTGAATATTACACCCCCTTTACTATCTCCATATTGTTTGTTTTTTAAATATCTACAACAGACCTAATACACTGTCTGGTCGAGAGATGCAGAGGGAAAATGTAGATTTTTTTAAACTTAAAGCTTCTCATCTGTATTTTGGCTGCTGGACAGTTATAGCGCATTTCCACCGCAGGCCTCGCTCGACTTAGTACGGGTTTGTTAGGCCTTGTTAGGCCCGGCTCACTTTAATGCTGCGCTTCCATTACAGTTTAAGAGCTGGGGCAGTAACTATAGTAACGCAGTGTAGGCGGAGCCGTGACGTCATCTTCAATGAGCGCCCCAGAAAAACAACACAGCTGTTAGCTGTTAGCACTCAGAGCTCACAGCTCCTCATATCTGTTCAGAAACTAGACAAAAGTTAAACAACTACAAACCACAGACTTTTTATGTGTCATGGTGAATACAGTCGCTGGTTTATTTATGTCTGTATAGGCCGTTGTTGTGAGTGTGGACGGTCGGAGCATTTACAACGTTAGCTTAGCCGATCTCCATTCAGAAAACACGCATTTTAAAAGGTTTTTCGCCTGCC